TTATTATCGTGCGTAATGGTAAACAGTAAACAAATAATTAATTAATGTGGCTGGGATCATGATGAACCAATCAAATTAGGTTAAAATCCTAGCCCCCTGGTGCAGGTTAAGATTCCCCTAAAATTTTTAGAAATCTGTTAATAACAATGATGTGATGACAACACATACATCATTAATACGGGACGCTAATCAAGTTAAGGCTTATGATAAACACTGGTAATACTACAAAAAAAGAATTAGTATGGTTGATGGAAAATATATTGACTCGCATAACTCGCGGGAAATTTATAACTCCAAGATTTTTAATTTTTAATAAACGAAGAGTATTTTCAGCAACTACGAATCATAATATTCAACCTAATATCCTTATAAAACATACTGTAATAATTTCTTTAACACTTTGTGCTTTAAATAAAACCCATAATAATATAATAATGTTTACTAATATAAAAGATCGACTTAACCACATAAAAGAAAAACAACATAATGGTGTTGGTAATGAAGATGAACCAAGTAAAGAATCTGTATCTTCAGGTAGTAATGATAGTAGTAGCAATTCAGTCGGTGGACTTTTTCGTCGTCCCATACAACCTACTAGACCACCAAATTCTTCCTCTTCAATAAAGAGTGAAGATAGTGGCAGTAAAGTGGACATTACTTTATTCGAGAACGAAGACGAAGAATTAAAAATTGATTATAAAGAAAAGGATGACATTGAAGGCCTTCCAGAAGAAATAAAAGAAAAGTTAGCTAAGTTAAAGAAATACGAAATCAAATTTCCAGGTGAGAGAAACTAGGTCGATGAAAAATTATATCCATTGACTATGTGTAAATCCTCAATTTAAAAAATTTGATCTATTTCATAATTTATAATGAACATGTACTAATTAATACCCATGTACTTTATGTAGAAATTGTAAAATCATATAAGAAACTGCTTACTGAACAAAAAACAGTCGAAGCTGTATTAAAGGAAAATACACATTTAGAAGGACTTTCTGACGTGGAAGCGTTTGAAGCGCACTTAAAAAATTTAAATATAAAGAATGGAGTACATATATTATTCAATTATTAGTTTCTTAGCTCGAAATATTTTCTTATGATTAAACTAACTTTCACTAAATTTATAGATGTCAATGGAAGAAATTAAAAGATTAACTCAGATCCAAGACGGTAAATAACAACGATTTATACTCTGAGATTATTATTTTTTCTTTACACATATATTATTTTTCTTTCCTTGGTCTTACTAAGCTTCTCTTTCTCACCATATCTTTTTTTTTTTTTTTTATCTTTTTAGAATCAAAAAAACAGATCGAGAAAATGAAGGAAACTCATAATATTGAATCCAAATCACAATCAGACTTGATAGATAACTTACAGAGAAAGTTGCAAGAACAAGAAAAGGTACGTTCTTAATTCTAATTTTGATAGAATTCTTTTTTTTTTATAATTTCAATTCACACTTTTTCGTTTGTAGAAAGTTGAAGATTTACGTAAGCAATTATCCGAAAAACCTTCATCGCCGACTACATTACAAGAAATTGGTAGTAATAAGGAGGATTCAGCAAATTTAAATCAACCTGCTGACCTGGATGAAGTTGCACTAGAAGCATCTTCTTTTTTATCAGTAGATTCACAAACATCATCAAAATCAATAAGATTAGAATATGAAACTGAAATAATTTCTTTACAAAAACAATTGGAAGAAGTTAAACCGATAAATTCTTCACTAAATTTAAAAATTGATGAATTAAATAATGAATTAAATAATTATCGTAAGAAAGTAGAAGATTTAGAATCATCAAATCTAGAATTAAAACAAAAACTTGAAAAATTTTATGATTCCTCAATTACAGATGCTGATGATATTATTAAAAAATTTGATTCATTAAATCAAAAAATCCAAAAATTAGAATCTGAAAAATCTTCATTAATTGAACGTAACACAAAATTTTCTAACGAAATATCCCAATTAAATAAAAACATTGAAACCTCAACGAAAACACAATTAGATAATGAAAAAAAGTTAAAAATAGATTTTGAACAAAAAATTTCTCAACTTGAAAATACTTCCTTAGCCGAAAAATCAAAATTAGAACAAATAATTAAAGGATTAACCAATGAAAATGAAAATATTAAAAAAGAATTGGAAATAACTTTAAAGGAAACTCAAGAATTAACAGAACAGCATCGTGTGGCATTAGATACAAAGATTAAAGAATTTGAAAATGAAAGGGATTTGATAACAAAACAGTTTGATAAGAAGTTAGAAGATGCAAAATTGGAAATTGCAAAAGAAAAGGCTCTTCTTGAAGAACAGCTTAAAGCCGTTACTGAAAAAGAAGGGATCGCTGCGCATCAACAAGGAGAGGTTACACCTGATAATGAGGGATGGAAGACCAAAAGGCGTCAATTTGAGTTGCAGATAAAATCATTGCAACAAGAAATTGAACAATTGAAACAAGGAAATGATTCTTCAAATAAACCTTTTCTTTCAACAGAAATTCTACCGATACAAGATAAAGAGCAAACAAAAAATAAGAATGCTGATGAAAACCAACCAGATAGAGCACCTATAAATACAGAATATGATACTATAACAAAAGAGAAAGATCAATTAGTTATTAAAGTGCACGAGTTGACCGAAGAATTAAATGTTAAAAGAAAGCAAATCGATGAACAACAAATAAAGATTCAGGAATCAGAGGAAAAAATAACAATATTAAAAGCAAATGTAAATGAAAAAGATGATCAGTTAAGTACGGTTCGATCACAGTTGAATTCAGCAAAGGAATCTATCTTGAAACTTGAACAAACAAGAAATGAATATAGTGATAAAGTCGTTAAAATTGAAAAGGCGAAAGGTGATTTACAGAAAAATTTAGATTATATAAGTACAGAGCGAGACAATTTATCGAGGGAACGGGATGAACTTAAATCAACGTATACCGTATTGAGCGAACAACATGATACGTTGAAATCTGATTCGACTAATATGAACAAAAAATTAGCGGAATTGGAAAATCGGATTAATGAATTAACAAAAGAACGTGATGAACTCGGTTCAGCCAAGGAGAATCTAATTAAAGATTTGGAAATTGTTCAAAAGAAAGCAAATGATTTTCGTGCGACAACGGATGATGAGATGGAAGCGTTGAAAAGTAAATTAGAAACAACCGAAAAGAATTATGCTTTACTCGAATCGGATGTTTCTAGACTTCATGTAGCTAAAACGGATGCCCTTGAAAAATTATCCGATGTTGAATCTAGATTAAAATCTTTGACACAACGAGAACGAGATATTCAAGAATCCTTTAAT